GAAAGTTTTGCCACATCCAACTGTTCATTTCATCAATGCATTGGCAGATGTAATGAGTTTGTACTTTAAATATTAGCAGCCTATTTTTCATATTTCTTTATTCTAACTTATGTTTTGAGCACATCAAAAAAAGTGTGACCATCTGCCAAACTAATCTAGCAAAAAGAAAGTGCAGTAGGCAGTATTTAAACCTCCTAATTAAATAGAACATTAGACGAATAACTGAAGTCCACTTTAGGTCCACAAAAAGAACCACCCCATTTATCAGGCTGGCTACGGGCTTGCTTTAATATTAGTTTAAAATGCGCTCAGATTAGCCAAACCTAAATGTAACCCCCATAAAATAATGAATGGGTGTAGATAAGACAGATAAAAAAGCTAAGATGAATAAAATTACATAAAATAATAAATAAATATACACCTCATCATCATTATCAAAGTGTTAAAGAGTTGATGCTAAAATAAGTATTAAAAAAATGCATGAAAAATGTTAAAACATGTATATGTGAGTTATAATTCTCTGATTGGTTGTCAGCAGTTTAAGTCAGCAAATGAGAGCGCTGGATGCTCATCTCCGCCCCCTTGTGGTTGCGGATATTATTGAAACATCGGAAGAGACAGCGTGACAAAGGAAAATCGAGTGATTTATAAAGTACATAGAGAAAATAGATCAGTTAAAATTTTCCTTTCTGTCACGCTGTGCTTCTCTTCCGAGGTTTCAAAAATATCCGCAACCACAAGGGGGAAACTACAGGGGCGGAGATGAGCATCCAGCGCTCTCATTTGCTGACTTAGACTGCTGACAACCAATCAGAGAATTATAACTCACATAAACATGTTTTAACATTTTTTTAATAAGTTTTTTTTAATACTTATTTTAGCATCAACACTTTAACACTTTGATAATGATGATGATGTGTATATTTATTTATTATTTTATCTGTTTTATCTATTTTTATTCATCTTATCTTTTTTTATCTGTCTTATCTACACCCATTCATTATTTTATGGGGGTTACATAAAGAGAGGTAATTGTTAAAGGGATAGTTTACCAAACAATGTACATTTACATACTTTTTACCAAACCTCAAGTGGTTAACCTAGTTAAGCCTTTAAATGTCACTTTAAGCTGTATAGAAGTGTCTTGAAAAATATGTAGTCAAATATTATTTACTGTCATCATCATGGCAAAGATAAAAAAAATCAGTTATTAAAACTATTATGTTTAGAAATGTGTTGAAAAATATCTGCTTTCTGTTAAACAGAAATTGGGGAGAAAAATAAACAAGGGGGTGAATAATTCTGACTTCAACTGTATGTGCATAATTTTAAAAAAGTCCTCTAAACTGTTCCAAGTGCCGGATTTACTCGCATCTTTTAACAGTAAATTTATTCTTGCAGTTAATAAATATAAATTAATACATTAACATCAAGAATAAAAACGGTTTTATTTTCTTAAAGAAGTTATATGTTATTTTAAAACAATACGTTAGTTATTCTCTCCATTAAACTTAAAGCAGGGGTGTCCAAAGTCGGTCCTGGAGGGCCGATGTCCTGCTGACTGTAGCTCCAACTTGCTTTAACACACCTGCCTTGAAGTTTCTACTATACCTAGTAAGAGCTTGATTAGCTTGTTCAGGTGTGTATGATTAGGGTTGGAGCTAAACTCTCCAGGACCGAGTGTGGACACCCCTGACTTAAAGGGACTTTGATATAGGTGCTTTGGGTAGTTGGCTGTTGTTAGTATGTTTCTAGCATGGATTAGCATGTTGTTACTAATATCTAATATTTCTAGCAGCAGGCTGTTTGCATGTAGAGGCTGTTGTATGCAAACAATCAATTATTAACCATATTTAAATGAGGTATTGTATAGTCATGTGGCCGCGGTCAGGGTGTGAGCACAATGAAGTGAAAACTGAGAGACTGTCAGGTGTTTGGGTCTGAAACGGCTGTAGGGGGATTCGTTCAAAGCGGGGAAACTGATCCTGAGCGGAGGCTTGTTAATTACCGCTCCAGCTCTTCTGCTTAATGAGCTGAATGCTAAAGTGGAGAGCGTTTTGCTTGTGGCATCCCAAGGCGTTATTTATTTAACAGTGTCATTAACCCTGTTATTAGGAGATCAGTCTTGCTTATTAAATTTCACTTGACTAAAAACCCCAAACAAACAGGGACGCGTTTCCCAAAGGCAATGCATGTTGAAGGAGATTGTAGAAGGCATTCAACCAAAAAAAACTGATCAAAGATTATTATATATATATATATTCATCCATTCATTTTCTTTTTGGATTAGTCCCTTTAATAATCTGCGGCTGCCACAGCAGAATGAACCGCCAACTTATCCAGCATATGTTTTACACAGCATGTTTGGATTGTGGGGAGATATATGACTTAATAACAGGGGCGATTTTAGGATTTTCATTTTAGTGGGGCTCCTCCATGACGTTGGGATACAGGGCCCGGTTTTTCAAAAGTAATCCACTAGGATTTTGGATAAGGGATTGGATCAAATCTTGAAAATGGGTTTTTTAAAATAAAAAAACGGATTACATAATCGGATTAGATCACATAATCCAATCTTGGTTTTGATCCAGATCAAACCTTTAGTTTGGGTTTTTCAGATCTTTTTTGTAGGATCTGGATCACTTTGATCCAAAAAACCTGGATTAAACTGATCCCATCAGAAGGGTGGATTTAGTGTGGATTTCATGCACAAAATGTAATGAGAACTTTAAAAAAAATTTAATAAAACTGTATTTGGATCATGCAGCATCTTACGAGATATACTATTTATTCATAAGGTTTTAATCATATTTGTTCATCTGTCAGGCTGTAGTGATATAGGCTTTAACGTATTCAGCCTTTCAGTATAGGCCTACAGCAAAATAAAAAGAGTATGGCCTCATAAAATAACCCCCCAAACAGCTGTCAAAATTTACCAAAAACAATACATTTTATTCTGTTACTAATTGATATTGTTACGTGTTTTATGATGTTAAAGTGGGATGCTGTAACATTTAAGTGAGACAGGTGTAATGTGTGCGACAGATCAATAATGAGGCAAGGTTCAGTTACTCTTATTTAAAACTTTTTACTCAGTAATTGAATTGAAACGTGTAACAATAATAAATGGGGGAGAAAAAAAGAAATAAACATTTATAATTATTATCTTTAAACAAGAACAACGAGTGTAAGCCAAATCAAAGAAATGAACAAAACAAAACAATCCTTACAATGTCTAAACTAGGCGTCAAAAAGAAACAAAAATAAAAACCGAGATCTTCAGTGTATACGACACCCGAACTAAACTAATTAAACTACAAAACTCAAAAAAATACACGGGTGGCAAAACACTCAAACTAATCTAACAAAATATTAATCTAAACTAAAACAAAACAAACCGGATAAGTCCGTTAAATCTTAGTTTAGAAATCACACAACCATCATATTATGTCACTTAAAGCCAACGAAGTTCAACAAGCAAACTCGAATTATCACAGTAACTGAGAAATAACAAAATAGACGAAGCATTCGCACAAACAAATTGCGTGGAGCACAAAGGGTACGCTGAGGCAGGGCGCACACCACACACTGGTCTGACAGGGCTTTAAATCCTTGCGACTCGACCTGGGATTTGTGGAACCGGAGAGCGTCATAATGATGATGGACAGAATAATAAACCAATAAGAAACCTAGGGTTGAACAAAGGAAGGAGGGGTGGAAAAAAAAGACAGAAAGAAAACATAAATCATAACATATATATATATATATATATATATATATATATATATATATATATATATATATATATATATATATATATATATATATATATATATATATATATATATATATATATATTCATCACAATGGAAAATATTTTTGTGTTTAGAATATTTATTAGTGATGCATGCAATGATTACAGAATAACAAAAAAAAAAAATGCAAAGATTGGCAATGCCTGATTTTTGAAATCACCTTCAACAATTGCAAAAAAGAGACTGGGCAGAAGTTCAGCTTCATCTGGCAAAGAAACAACTGACTCTGACCAAACTGCAGCAAACCAGGACCACATTTGAGATCTGCCTCCTAAAGAATACGCTCAGACAAGCTGCTGCCTCCATATCAGATGAAGAAGTCTGACATTATTGTGGAGGTTTCAACATCGTCTTTTTTTTATTCAATACATCTATATTTGAAACTTATTATAAATATCCTCAATGTACAGTGTTGTAGATCTCAGATGAGCGGACTGCTGGAAGAGAATGGGGTGGGGGTTTACTTGCTTTTATTATTTATTATTAGAATTATTTTATTATTTATTAAATTTTCTTAGTTTTCATTTCAAATAAAAATAAAGTTATATTTACCCCACACTGGCTATTCTACTTGTCGCTCTTTACACAGGCCTATCTATCCATCTACAATGTGTTTGAGCACTGGTAATCCAGATTTAGTGATCCTGAAAAGTTCCTATCCAGATCAGATTGATCCAATCCAATGTTGCTTTGAAAAAGCGACTCAAAAAGTAAGCTGGATTATGTGATCACGGATCGCAAAAACAGGATCACTAAATCCGGATAAATTTTATCCGGATTAAACCTTTTGAAAAACCGGGCCCTGGTGATACAAGTTATCCATATCAAAGAACTGCAAATAGGCAGATATTATAACAATTATAATAATAATAATAATTTACAGATATTATAAAATAACACACACTTCCTTCTCTCGCTGCCCACGGCTTTGGTTTGCTTATCAAATGAACAACAAAAGACGGGGACGAGCCGAATTCTGCCGCCGTTTTCATATCAAATTTAGGGGACTGAGGCGATAATTTAGTGTACTGTTCTTAAGCTATTTGCAAAAGTTTTCGGGGGGCTGAGTAGAAATATAGGAGGGCTACCGCTCCCCTAAAATAGGTCTAGCAACGCCCATGCTTAATAATACGTATGACCTAATAATATGTGTTTAATCTATTGTTTTTAATTCTTTACCTTTAGTGTTTTCATCTCTTCATCTCCAGACTGAAACCTTTTCTTCATCTCTACAATGGCAGCGGTAAGTGAAATAACAAAGAGAAGATTTTTACAATAAACATCAATTACATTGTCAGTATACGGAAAGAATTTATTACTGTCATCTTGCAATTCACATGCATAATATATACTCACCGGCCACTTTATTAGGTACACCTTACTAGAACAAGGTTGGAACTCATTTTGCCTTCAGAACTGCCTTAATTCTTAGTGGCATAGATTCAACAAGGTACTGGAAATATTCCTCAGAGATTTTGCTCCATATTGGCATGATGGCATTATGAAGTTGCTGCACATGGATAGAGATCTGGTGACTGTAGAGGCCATTTAAGTACAGTGAACTCATTGTCATGTTCAAGAAACCAGTCTGAGATGATTCACGCTTTATGACATGGCGCGTTATTCTGCTGGAAGTAGCCATCAGAAGATGGTACACTGTGGTCATAAAGGGATGGACATGGTCCGCAACAATACTCGGGTAGGCTGTGGTGTTGAAACGATGCTCAATTGGTACTAATAGGCCCAAAGTGTGCCAAGAAAATATCCGCCACACCATTAAACCACCAGCAGCCTGAACCGTTGATACCCGGCAAGATAGATCCATGCTTTCATGCTGTTAATGCCAAATTCTGACCCGACCATCCGAATGTGGCAGCAGAAATGGAGACTCATCAGAGCAGGCAACGTTTCCCCAATCTTCTATTGTCCAGTTTTGGTGAGCCTGTTTGAATTGTAGCCTCAGTTTGCTGTTTTTAGCTGACAGGAGTGGCACCTTTTGTGGTCTTCTGCTGCTGTAGCCCATCCGCCTCAAGGTTAGACATGTTGTGTGTTCAGAGATCCTCTTCTTTTGTTACTGTTGCCTTTTTATCAGCTGGAACCAGTCTGGCCATTCTCCTCTGACCTCTGGCATCAACAAGGCATATGCGCACACAGAACTGCCCCTCACTGGATATTTCCACTTTTTCAGACCATTCTCTGTAAACCGTAGACATGGTTGTGCGTGAAAATCCCAGTAGATCAGCAGTTTCTGAAATACTCAGACCAGCCCGTCTGGCACCATCAACCATGCCACGTTTAAAGTCACTTAAATCCCCTTTCTTCCTCATTCTGATGCTCTGTTTAAACTGCAGCAGATCGTCTTGACCATGTCTAAATGCTTAAACGCAGTGAGTTGCTGCCGTGTGATTGGCTAATTAGAAATTTGCGTTAATAAGCAGATGGACAGGTGTACCTAATAAAGTGGCCGTTGAGTGTATAATTAGGATTAATTAAATTGATCAGTACAGACAGTTATAAGGTTACGACATTTTCAATTCTAAATGTTCTTTGGAACTTTCTATTCATCAACCAATCCTGAAAAACTGGTTTGCAAAACGTTTCCAAGACTGGGGTAATGATACTGAGAATTCAGCTTTACGTCACAGGAATAAACAACATTTATTTGAAACTATAACAGTGTGTTTGTAATCAAATAACTGGAGCTTTGGTGACAATAACAAATTGTTTAAGAAATATACCAAATTTTCATGCTGTAGTATTTGTTTTGCTGTGATAAACTAAATTCTCAAGTGCGGTTTAGCGATTAACACTGTGTACAAAATAAAAGTCTTACATAATATATTTACATACTGTGAATATTTATCCATAAAATGCACAAACATAACTGATATACATTTATGTGTGCATCGTTTCTCTTAATTTTTTTATATTATTATTTGATTTAAATTTCTTCCCCAACATATTCATTTTGGTGTACTAATGTTTGTACTGAGATTAGGTTATTTTGTTAGATTAGTTCCAGTTTTGCCGTTGGTGCTGACTAAACTATAGACCATTTTGAGGGTTGTAAACAAAAACAATGGTCCTAGCATATTTCCGGTTGTACATTTTTAATTTCTATAGCTTTCAAGAATCCAAAAAGGTCCACATATTAATAAATAATGTTAGGACAGCAGTTTAAACATTAAGAAATTATTAAACAGTTATTGTTACAGTTATGAATTACAGTAGTTTGATAACAAGCAGGAAATATTCATGGGCCAATAGAAATGGTCTGGTCACACTTTACAATAAGGTTCATTAGTTAATGTTAATTAATGCATTTACTAACATGAACAAACAATGATCAATACATTTACTACTGTATTTGTTCATGTTAGTTAACGTTAGTTAATGAAAATTCAGTAGTTCATTGTTAGTTCATGTTAACTCATGGTGCATTAACTAATGTTAACAAGCATGGACTTAGATGTTAATAATGCATTAGTAAATGTTCAATTATGATTAACAAATGCTGTACATGTGTTGGTTATGATTAGTTCATGTTAGTAAATGCATTAACTAATGAACCTTATTGTAAAGTGTTACCAATGGTCTATTATTATATTTACAAATATAACATTGTAAAGCATCCTACACTCTCAGAAATAAAGGTATATGTGCTGTCACTGAGGCTGTACCTTTTTAAAAGGTGCATATCTGTGCCTGAAGGGTCCATAATGGTACCTCAAAGGTACTTTTTAGGTATATTTAAGCACTAATATGCACCTTTGAGGTACCACTCTGAACTCTTTTGGTACAAATATGCTTTTAAAAAATATCTTTTAAAAAGGTTCTGCCTTAGTGACAGCTCCTGTACCTTTATTTCTGAGAGTGTATAGAAAATGTTAATTTAAAAGGGAGATCTGTGAGTGCTGTACTCATTACAGACACAAACACATAATAAATATACAGTAGTACGCTCATTGTTCTGCTAACTTTAATTTGCATGTGATTAGTCAGGATTTATTATTTAACAGCGCTAAAATGTTCATGGTTAATAAATGTTTGATCCTTGACACAGTCTGATCTTTGAGTTGTCATGCACATCTGAGACTCTAAATATGTCAGTGTCACTTTACACTTACGGTTCGCACTCTTGAAATCTACCGCAAGGTGTCATTTTCACTTTTTTTTACTGTAGTTGGGAAACCGTGGAACTGTGACTGAGGCGTCAGGCTTCAAGCCAGAGGATGATGCCCAGAAAATCTATAATGCCATGAAAGGAGCAGGTGAGAGAGACCATACCAATCACAACTGGACTTTAACATGAGAGCATTTAAATATGATTAAATAAGTTTCCATTTAAATCAAAGAAAAATTATCCTCTGAATTGATCTAAAAGCAGATCAGATACCTCAGTGTGTCGTAATTTCCAGTTAAACGGATAGTTCACCCTCAAATGAAAAATTACGTTCACTCATTTGGTTCCTCACTATAAAAAAATGTCAGTCAAAACAGCAGTAAAATACAACATTCATACATTTTCCTTCCAATTAGTCTCTGATTTATAAGGGGTCGCCACAGCGGAATGAACCGCCAACTACTCAGCATATGTATTATGCAGTAGATGCCATTCCAGCTGCAGCCCAGCACTTAGAAAAACGAAAACACACTCGTTCACACACACACACACACTCCTACACTACAGCCAATTTAGTTCATCCAATTCACCTATAGCGCTTGTGTTTGGACTGTGGGACAAACCGAAACACCCGGAGGAACACCTGGAGAACATGCAAACTCCACACAGAAATGCTAGTTCTAACCACTGAGCCACTGTGTCAATCTACACCACAAATTACACTGTTAAATCAAAAATATTGGGCAGCACAGTGGCGCAATGGGTAGCACGATCGCCTCACAGCAAGAAGGTCGCTAGTTCCGGCTGGGTCAGTTGGCATTTCTGTGTGGAGTTTGCATGTTCTCCCCGTGTTGGTGTGGGTTTTTCTCCGGGAGCCCAAAGTCCAAACACATGCACTATAGGTGAATGGGATGAACTAAATTGGCCAAAGTGTATGAGTGAGAATGATGTTTCCCGGTGTTAGGTTGCGGTTGGGCATCTGCTGCATAAAACATATGCTGGATACATTCCACTGTGGCGACTCCTGATTAATAAAGGGACTAAGCCGAAAAGAAAATGAATGAATCAAAAATATCCTCATTTCTGTTTCGAAGATGAGAAATTAATTGCTTTATGAGTTTCTTTCTTCTGTTGAACACTAAAGAAGATATTTTGAAGAATGTTGGAAACCACTAGTCATTGACATCCATGGTTAAAAAATACTATGGAACTCAATGATTTTACAACAGTTTTAATAATATCTTCTTTTGTGTTCAACAGAAAAAAGAAACTCGAGTAAGTAAATGATGACAGAGTATTTAGTTTTGGGTGGACTGTCGCTTTAAACTCTTCTCTGACACTGAGTCAGTAAACGGCAAACTCAGCGGTGTTTCCTTCATGGTTGATGAATGTTGTTGTGAACACACATTTCTGTTTTAATGGCCTTCAGCTGACTTTCAGCGTGACGTGTGTTACGAAACTCAACACTGCTGCTGTTACACACTGACTTACTTGTGGGTTTTAAGTGAGTTATGACTAACATGTAATTTGATATTTTAAATAATACTGTGCATTCTCCGCTTTCTGAAAGTGTCAACAAAGTAAATTCCTTCAAGATTACAATCAAGCATGTGATTTCAGCCCAAGGCAATATTGGTAACATGCATTTTGTAATTCTGGTAATCACTTCCATGTAAGAAAAGTGAACAAAACTTACTTCTTGTTCTTCCTAGAAACACACACACACACACTCATGTGTATGTATGTGTGTGTGTGTATATATGTATCTATATGTGTATATGTGTGTGTGTGTGTATATATATATATATATATGATAATAATAATTATATATATATATATATATATATATATATATATATATATATATATATATATATATATATATATATATATATATATATATTAGGGCTATTGGAAAATATATTGGAAAAAATCTTATATTGCGAAATTAAATTTTTCTGTGATGCATATTGGAATATGAATATTTTTAGCTGTTTTTATGTATTTGAATACCTCTATTTGGCTTTTTTTCTGGGGAGTATTCAGGTACAGAAATTGAATAATTAAACTAATAATGCAAATAATGCTTTTCTAACTTGAAGTTTCTGTCTCATTTTTAGTCCAAGTTTAAAAAAATAAATAAATTAAATCAAGTAAAATATTGTTTTGTTTTAATGTTTAGAGGTAAAAGTCAAAATTAATTGAATTTTCCCTTGAAACAAGCTAAATAATTTGCAAAAATATGTAAAAGAATTATTACAATATATATATATATATATATATATATATATATATATATACACACACATCTATATATATATATATACACATCTATATATATATATAGATATATATAGATATATATATAATTTTTTTTGTGGTTTTCACCTTTATTGATAGGATGGTGGAGATTTACAGACAGGAAAGTGTGGGAAGCAGAGATAGGGGAAGGATCCGTAAAGGACCTCTAGCTAGGGATCGAAGTCCGGTCGCCGCGAGTGCTATGTGCACCTGGGTGCTATGTAGTCACCTTAGAATTTTAAGGTTCTACCTGACATTTGTCAAAATCGAGTTATTGACATATTCTTATTAAATGACAACTTATTTACATTGAGACATTTTTTATAAGTTGCTTACATTTTAAGAATTTTTATTTAAAAAACAAATCCTTATTTTAAAAACATACTGTTTGCTATATGGAATGCAAAAACTTTGAAGCTCAGTATCTCAAAATCGTTCAGAATGCAGATAGAACCTTATAAATCCAAGATGACGATGTGTCTTTACCGCACTTAACCACTAAGCTATTGGCACCGACCTGAATTGAGATTTAACATTGCAGATCCAGCGATGTTCCAACATTGCGATAACGATGCTAGAACGATATATTGTGCAGCCTTATTATTTATAAATATTATAACTTAGGCTTTGACTGATGCCAATTAAATGCCCTGAAAGTGTTAAAATCATTACAAAATTGTAATTTTGCAAATACTAAAATTAAGCTACTTTTCAGGTACCAACGAGGCGACTATCATCGAGATCCTCGCTCATCGCACGATTGCACAAAGGCAGAAAATCAAGGAGGCTTTCAAGCTGAGCGTGGGAAAGGTAAAACGTAACACTACAGCTGTGTAGATAACGTTTCTTTAGAAACTCAATCAACAGCCCTTTTTTGGTTTAATGAAGGTTTAAAAGAAGAAAGCTTACAGTGGGGGAAATAAGTATTGAACACGTCACCCTTTTTCTCAGAAAGCATTTTATATTATGTTTTTTTTTTGCGGATGTTGGTAACAACCAAACAAATCCACATATCCACAGAAAACAGAACTATTTGATTTACAAATGAAGTTATGTGTAATAAAACGAAATGACAAAGGAAAAAGTATTGAACACATGAAGAAAGGAAGGTGTAGATAGGCATGGAAAGCCCAGACAGCAGCCGAAATCTCTCAGTAGTTCTTCAGCAACCCTCTGCCCTTCATCAGTGTAAATGAACATCAGCTGCTTCACTCCAACATCTAGATTAGCAGGAGGATGAAGATGAAACCAGGGTGGACATTTCAGCAAGACAATGATGCAAAACGCAGCCAAGGAAACTCTTAAATGCTTTCAGAGAAAGAAAATAAAGCTGTAGAATGGCCCAGCCAATCACCTGATCCGAATCCAATAGGAAATACAAAATAAAGCTCAGATTTAATAGACGAGACCCACAGAAGCATCAAGATTTTGACACTCTGTTGAAGTCTGTGGATAACGCAAACCTGAGCAATGCATGTGACTTCATCCTCCATATGAGAGGCGTCTTTAAGCTGCCATCACCAAAAAAGCCTTTTATATAAAGTATTAAACACATTTCAGTAGTTTTATGTTTGTATTGTTTGGGTTTTTACCAAAATCTAGTTCAATCCCATGTCAACAGCTCCTTTAGAAATATCATCCCCAGTAAAAACATAACGTGTTCAATACTTATTTCCCCAACTGTATATGATCTTGTTATCTTAACAGAAGGTCCTAATGGCAGGGACATCATTGGTAGCCAACCAGGTTGTATTTGTATAAAACATATGGCGATTAGATAACAATGTTGACAAGTCCTGATAAATCTGAAGCCAATATGAAGCTAAACAAAGACCAGAATGAGTCGCTGATAACAGACTCTGTCCAGCGACTTCAATCATTAACGCTTCATGTAAATATCCACATGCTGTGAACAGAGAGAGTGGTGTCTTCAGGAGACATCCCAGTGCTTTATGACCGATATCATCAAGAATGCTTCATTGACTTTTATTGTACTTCCCGGTGGTTGCCCTCTATTAATGTGTAACTCTGTAAACCGGTCAATGAAATGAGTAAAAGTCACGGTCAGGCCTTAGCTGCTGTTGTTAATGGAAACTCTGAGAGATTCTAGCCTCAGTGTGTGTGTAGTAAGAAAGTGTGAATCATTGAGTGGGAAAATCTGGACTGTGTCTCATTGAGAAGGCCAAACTTTCACACCCAACATCCTCTTGAGGCTCACAGAAGACACTAACAAAAGACTTTTCTCAACAACAAATCTCTGCTATTAATGTCTCACCCTTATGTTGATCCTGAGACCTTTGTAAAATAAACACACACTTTAACCTGATGCAGGAGATACAGTATAGGCAAGTTCTTGTTAGGTTTCTGAATAACAAACCAACACTACCTGACTAAAGTCACCTTTCCAAGTTTTAGGAACAGCAAATAGCTTGACTTCTAGTTGATCATTTGATATTAGAAGTGGCTAATATGAAAGGCAAAGGCCTCTAGATTACGCTAATTTGACCACAATAAACTATGATCATGCCTTGATTTTTAATGATTTAATTAGGACAGTAAGGTCTGACTTTGCTTAGACCAGGGGTGTCCAAACTCAGTTCTGGAGAGCAGGTGTCCTGGAGAGTTTAGCTCCAGCCCTAATCAAACACACCTGAACCTGCTATTTAAGCTGACTAGATATACTAAAAGCTTCCTGACAGGTGTGTTGAAGCAAGTTGGAACTATACTCAGCAGAACACCAGCCCTCCAGGACTGAGTTTGGACACCCCTGGCTTAGACAAAAGTCTTGTCTCTGAACAGAAATAATGTCCAGTCTGGAATATAAAGTCCTGCTGCAGTGGAGACAGAATGAATATTGTGTCTGACTCCATCATGAGCTTGGAGGACTGCATCCATACATCTCTGACATGACTCAAATCACTGATTAATGAAGTCATCTGGAACGGCAAAGAAAGCGTTCCTGCAGGACTCCCAGAGTTAATCAAGACTCTTTGAATTCATCTTCAATGCCTCCTCCTTCATCTTACCCCAGACATGCTCAATAATGTTCATATCTGGTGACTGGGCTGGTCAATCCTAGAGCAGCTTGACCTTCTTTGCTTTCAGGAGCTTTGATATGGAGGCTGAAGTATGAGGAGCGCTATCCTGCTGGAGAATCTGCCCTCTTCTGTGGTTTGTAATGTAATGGGCAGCACAGATGTCTTGATACCTCAGGCTGTTGATGTTGCCATCCACTCTGCAGATGTCTCGCACCCCCCATACTGTATGTAACCCCAAACCATGATTTTTCCTTCACCAAACTTGACTGATTTCTGTGAGAGTCTTTGCTCCATGCGGGTTCCAGTAGGTCTTCTGCAGTATTTGTAATGATTGGGATGCAGCTCAACAGGTGATTCATCAGATAAATCCACCTTCTGCCACTTATCCAAATGATCAACTAGAAGTCAAGTTATTATGTGTTGCTCTTACAACTGCAATCAAAGACAAGACTTTTGTTATCCTCTATGTGATGCCATGATGTAAATGAAAAAGAGAAGCAGTCCAAGAATTCTGAGGGACTCGAATAGCAAGATTGTGTGAATACTTCACCCCTTTAAACACATTTTTTTTTTAATGCTTGAACACCTAAATTGTCTATTTATCTCACTATATTTATCAGCTCAACCCTCCTGTTGTCTCACTGGACAAAAATGACCTGTGACAATTTTAGGCCAAATTTTAGCCAAACAATGACCTGTGACAGCGAGGCAGTGGCGCAGTAGGTAGTGCTGTCGCCTCACAGCAAGAAGGTCGCCAGTTGACATTTCTGTGTGGAGTTTGCATGTTCTCCCTGCGTTCGCGTGGGTTTCCTCCGGGTGCTCCGGTTTCCCCCACAGTCCAAAGACATGTGGTACAATTGGGTAAGCTAAATTGTCTGTAGTGTATGTGTGAATGTGTGTGTGTGGATGTTTCCCAGAGATGGGTTGCGGCTGAAAGGGCATCCGCTGCGTATAAACTTGCTGGATAAGTTGGCAGTTCATTCCGCTGTGGCGACCCCGGATTAATAAAGGGACTAAGCTGACAAGAAAATGAATGAATGAATGAATGACCTGTGACAATTTTAGGCAAAACATCGAGGTATAAATAATAAAAACTTTTTAATAATAAACTTTTTTAAATAATAAAGTTTTTTTTTTTTTCTAAAGTATTTTTTATCTTTCTAAAATTACCTCTGACTTGTTTTTTTCATATTCATGAATTTTTATTCTTAAAGGCTGTACACATATAGGGCACAACGATTATACATTTTTAGACCACAAAATCTACAGGCGCCACAAATAAAAAAGTTTAAAGGTGTCTTTTTGTATTTATCTTTTTTAGTTTGGATAAATGTGAAGGTATTGTAGGAAACCTACAAAAATACAAGATTAGAAACCTTAAAACTTGCACTGTAAAGTTGGCATTAAACAGCTGTTACAATTGCCTTATTTCCCTATTGTTGTGCAATCCTGAATGAAACTGCTTCTAGAAGGATAACAAATGTACAGAGCAGGATTGGTAACAATCAAAGAAATCTATATATGCAAAGAAAACAAATCTAAATAGTTTACAAATGAAGTTATGTGTAATAAAATAAAATTATGCAGGGAAAAAGTATTGAACAAATGAAGAAAGGGAGGTGAGAACGACAGAAAGCCCAGAAAGCAGCTGAAATCTCAGTAGTTCTTCAGTTACCTTCTGCCCTTCTTCAGTGTAAATGGTAACAACCAAACAAATCCACATATCCACAGAAAACAGAACTATTTGATTTACAAATGAAGTTATGTGTAATAAAACGAAATGACAAAGGAAAAAGTATTGAACACATGAAGAAAGGAAGGTGTGGAAAGGCATGGAAAGCCCAGACAGCAGCCGAAATCTCTCAGTAGTTCTTCAGCAACCCTCTGCCCTTCATCAGTGTAAATGAACATCAGCTGCTTCACTCCAACATCTAGATTAGCAGGAGGATGAAGATGAAACCAGGGTGGACATTTCAGCAAGACAGTGATCCAAAAAACAGCCAAGGAGACTCTTAGATGCTTTCAGAGAAAGAAAATCAAGCTGTGGAATGGCCCAACCAATCACCTGACTTCTAAAGAATAACAAATATACAGAGCAGGATTTAATATGTACATGTGGAATTGATTGCATGGTTATGAGTGACCTGTTTATTCCTCCCTTACACCAGTAAACCCCAATCAGAGAAGAAATGTCACTGCAAAAGCTATTTTAATAAAAGATAAATTATTTATAATAAAAATACAAAGGTTCCATTTAAAGCAGGGGTCTCAAACTCGCGGCCCGCGGGCCATTTGCGGCCCTCAGTGCAATATTTTGTGGCCCGCGCCAACAGCTGTACACTGACAGAATCAGCGGAGCGGGGAGAGAGAGCGCTCCGCTGATTCTATCCGTACACAGCGCGCTTGTCACTCAATGCGTGTTGTCGCGCGCGTTCTGATCAGCTGTGTTGTCGCGCGCGTACTCAAGAGCGGTGTTATCGCGCGCCTACTGAGGGGCCGGACCGAGGGTGTGTCGCGTCGCGGGGGCACTTTTGATCATTTTGGAAGGGCACTTTCTATGCAAGACTAAAAAGGGCATGTGCACTCCACAGGTTGAGCCCTATGTGTGCACGTGCCTGCCCTGCATCTTATATATATTGATATTATAGGTAGATACAGACTGGTACAGACTGATGTGACTGGAGTGGGGTGAGGGTGTTTTATTTATACATATATACGCCTTTTTTAGGTGAGGGAATGGAAGTTTTGAGTGAGTTCCCCCACTTTTTTCCCTAGGACTTCAATAAGTCAAAGTACAGGTCTACACTTAATGATGATCATCTTCAAGCCATACTGAGGGTCTCAACTGCTTCCGCTCTAAAGCCAAATGTGGTTCAGATTTGTGGGAAGAAGCGCTGTCAAGTCTCTGGCAGCAAGGAGTAGGCAAAAGATGCCATGTTCAGAAGAACTGTTCATAATCTTCACTCAATGTTCTATTAATGTTCAGGACACTTCATGTTCAGAAGAAATAATTAAAACTGTTAATAATGACATTTGAGGACTTTTTTTTGTGAAATCCCTTATGCGGCCCAGCCTCACCCACACTTTGCCTCCTGCGGCCCCCAGGTAAATTGAGTTTGAGACCCCTGATTTAAAGGAATAGTCCATTTTGAGTTTGTGATTTTTTTGTTTTACAGCATGAATGAATGTATTTATTCTAATTTTAGATTCTGGTTTCCATGTGGTAAATAACCCTAAAACGCTCTTTCAGGAATTGATGGACTGCCTGAAGTCTGAGCTGACTGGAAACTTTGAGAAGGTTGTGGTGGGCCTGATGATGCCTGCAGCGGTGTACGACGCACATGAGCTGAGAAACGCCATCAAGGTTAGTGAGGATAGATGGGGAAGTTTAAAATGAGCTTTTGCTATCTAAAAACAAACACACAGAGCTTTAAATCCTGCAAATGAGGAACATTGTTATCTGTCTACTCTGGTGGAAACACATCTCTGGACAGCCATTATGCAAATTAATTTTATAGCTATGTAGGTTTTGATCATCTACAAAGGCAGTGTCTGTAGTCCATCAGTGTACTAAACATGCAAATTATATGTTACTTAAAAACGTACATTTTACACATTGTCTAGTAAATTTTTATGCATGTGTGTGTATGCGCATGTGTATGTGTATATACAGTTGAAGTCAGAATTGTTAGCCCCCCTGAATTATTCCCCAATTTCTGTTTAATGGAGAGCAGATTTTTTTCAGCACATTTCTAAGCATAATAGTTTTAATAACTCATCTCTAATAACTGATTTATTTTATCTTTGTCATGATGACTGTGAACAATATTTGACTAGATATTTTTCATACACTTCTATACAGCTTAAAGTGACATTTAAAAGCTTAACTTGGTTAATTAGGTTACCTAGGCAGGTTAGGGTAATAAGGTGAGTTATTGTATAACAGTGGTTTGTTCTGTAGATTATCGAGAAAAAAATATAGCTTAAAGGGGCTAATAATTTTGTCCCTAAAATTGTGTTTAAAAATTTAAAGCTGCTTTTATTTTAGCCGAAATAAAACAAATAAGACTTCCTCCAGAAGAAAAAATATTATCAGACACACTGTGAAAATTTCCTTGCTCTGTTAAACATCACATGGGAAATATTTAAAAAAGAAGAAAAAAAATTGAAGAGGGCTAATAATTCTGACTTCAGCTGTATGTGTATATATTGGATATTGTTTATCATGGTGCCTGTTTGTCACAGGTTCAAGTATCCACACACATCACTGTAATTTATAGACAGAATGGACTTCATTACAATCAAGGTGAAAACAACATGTGTACATTTTTCTTTTTAAAGCTTTAGTTGGTAAATGAACACAGTATATATCTAGTTTGGTGGTGTACTGCTCAAACACTTATAATACCAGATCAGCAGATTTATTCTTACTTAGGATGCCATTTTTTTCGTACACAATTTGGTCGATCTGCATTCTCTAAATATGCTTCAAATGTATTGAATGAGCTTCAAAATATACTACAAATGAAATGTGTACCATCTATAGCCATATTTAAACATATTTTAATATCTGTCTATTTAGAACGGTGCACGTGTTTCTAAAAACAAACACACAGAGCTTTAAATCCTGCAAATGAGGAACATTGTTATCTGTCTACTCTGGTGGAAACACATCTCTGGACAGCCATTATGCAAATTAATTTCATAGCTATGTAGGTTTTGATCATCTACAAAGGCAGTGTCTGTAGTCCATCAGTGAACTAAACATGCAAATTATATGTTACTTAAAAACGTACATTTTACACATTGTCTAGTAAATTTTTATGCATGTGTGTGTATGCGCATGTGTATGTGTATATACAGTTAAAGTCAGAATTATTAGCCCCCCTGAATTATTCCCCAATTTCTGTTTAATGGAGAGCAGATTTTTTTTTCAACACATTTCTAAACATAATAGTTTTAACAACTCATCTCTAATAACTGATTTATTGTATCTTTGTCATGATGACTGTGAATAATATTTTACTAGATATTTTTCAAGCCACTTCTATACAGCTTAAAGTGACATTTAAAGGCTTCACTAGATTAATTAGGTTACCTAGGCAGGTTAGGGTAATTAGGCGAGTTATTCTATAACGATGGTTTGTTCTGTAGATTATCGAGAAAAAATATAGCTTAAAGGGGCTAACAATTTTGTCCCTAAAATTGTGTTTAAAAATTTAAAGCTGCTTTTATTTTAGCCGAAATAAAACAAATAAGACTTCCTCCAGAAGAAAAAATATTATCAGACACACTGTGAAAATTTCCTTGCTCTGTTAAACATCACATGGGAAATATTTAAAAAAGAAGAAAAAAAATTGAAGGGGGCTAATAATTCTGACTTCAGCTGTATGTGTATATATTGGATATTGTTTATCATGGTGCCTGTTTGTCACAGGTTCAAGTGCGCACACACATCACTGTAATTTATTTATAAAATGACAGAATGGACTTCATTACAATCAAGGTGAAAACAACATGTGTACATTTTTCTTTTTAAAGCTTTAGTCGGTAAATTACCACGGTATATATCTAGTTTGGTGGTGTACTGCTCAAACACTTATAATACCAGATCAGCAGATTTATTCTTACTTAAGATGCCTTTTTTCATACACAATTTGGTCGATCTGCATTCTCTAAATATGCTCCAAATGTATTGAATGAGCTTCAAAATATACCACATATGAAATGTGTACCATCTATAGCCATATTTAAACATATTTTAAGGTCTGTCTATTTAGAATGGTGCACATGTTTTAATAATTAATTATGGCTTATATTATTTTTGTGTGTGTCTGAGTTACAGCAAAATATTTCTCACAACACACAAAGTCTTGACCAGGACTCCATGGTTGAAGAGATATTGTATCTCAATGGGACATTCCTGGTTAAATATGTCAATAAAATAAAGTTACAATATGTGGTAGTATTTTCAAAAATATTGATACTGAAATATTTAAAATAATCAAATCTTGCTTTTGGTTAGTAATGCTGGCTTTACCCTCTCCCACCTTCTCATTCCCAGCAGGGAGATCAATAATTAATGACAATATTAAGATTTCAAAACTTTTATTCTAATCAGAAAAAAAGACTAGATTGCACTAATTTATTATTGGACTTAAGGACTTACTATAAGCATTATGTGGTTTAGCTATACACTCACCGGCCACTTTATTAGGTACACCTTTATGCTAGTAACAGGTTGAAGCCCCTTTTGCCTTCAGAACTTTCTTAATGCTTCACGGCATACATTCAACATGGTACTGGAAAATTCCTCAGAGATTTTACTCCATACTGACATGATAACATCACTCAGTTGGCTGCATATCCGTGATTCAAATCTCCCGTTTCACACATCCCAAAGATCTTCCGTTGGATTGAGATCTGGTGACTGTGGAGGCCATTTGAGTACAGTGAACTCATTGTCATGTTCGACTTGACTATGTCTGCATGCCTAAATGCATTGAGTTGCTGCCATGTGATTGGCTGATTAGAAATTTGCATTAACGAGCAGTTGGTGTACCTAATATAGTGGCCGGTGAATGTATTTTCCCCTTTTACTTTATTTGCTTACTTCTAATGTTGCTTGATTTGTTCTCTACGGTATTGAAAATCGAATCGATATTTTTTTTAAGGTATTGAAGTTCCAGTATTGTGACAATGCTAATATCTGGCAAAGATATTAATGATAATGACCCCAAAAAGTTCAATCTAAACCTATCCTCTATCAGTGGCTTTAGGTGAATTCAGAAGGATTATTATTAATATTATTTTTAACCTTGCTATATTGTATTTTGTGCTCAGGGAGCAGGGACGGAAGAGGCTTGTCTAATTGACATCCTGGCCTCGAGAAGCAATGCTGAGATAAAAGAAATCGTCGCCGCTTACAAGAAAGGTGCATGCTAGTTATTTTTTATTATTTTGCATTATAAATCTTTTCATATGACACTATTTTCATTCACTTTGCTTTTCCTGATAACCTCATTATCTCAGAACATGACAAGAGTCTTGAAGACGACATCTGCGGAGACACATCCGGAATGTTCCAGAGGGTCTTGGTGTCATTGCTCACGGTAAATAAACAAATCACCTCTTTTGAAGACATAGTTCACCTTAAAATTAATACTGTCATTAACTTGATTGACTTATTCCACATCTGTTTTTTTCTGTTGAATATAAAAGAAGATATTTTGAAGAATGTTGGAAACCTGTAACAACTGACTTCCATGGTATGTGTTTTTGTATGGGAGTCAATTGTTAACACAGTTTCAAACATTCTTTGAAATATCTTCTTGTTTTCAACCAAAATAAAAACTGGGTTGGAACAAGTCAAGGGTGAGTAAATGAAGACAAAATTGACATTTTTGGGTGAACTATCCTTTTTAGTACATTTGTGAGGAAGACTTTCAGTCAATAAGTGCTTTGTTTGGTTTGCAAACCCTTGTGGTCCTCCGTTTCCGGAGCAGGTTTGACAGACTGCAGTTATTGACATCAGGGTTTTTTCTGCTTTGTTTACAGGCTGGGCGTGACGAGAGCACTAAGGTAGATGAGGCTCAGGCTGTCCAGGATGCAAAGGTGAGGATTTTGACGTGGTTAGCGGTAGCTTTTTGCCTGAATATTAGATATATTTGTTCTGAATGTCTTAATCTAGGGACTTCTCGCTTAACAAATCAAATAGTTTATTTGAATGCTTTTAAAAGTAGGTGTCCATTTAAGATTTAAAAATTATGATCATTCATTTTGGCGACGCCGTGGTGCAGTAGGTAGTGCTGTCGCCTTACAGCAAGAAGGTCGCTGGTTCGAGCCTTGGCTAGGTCAGTTGGCATTTCTGTGTGGAGTTTGTATGTTCTCCCAGCGTTCGCATGGGTTTCCTCCGGGTGCTCTGGGTGCTCCGGTTTCCCCCACAGTACAAAAACATGCAGTACAGGTGAATTGGGCTGGCTGAATTGTTCGTAGTGTATGAGAGTGAATGAGTGTGTATAGATGTTTCCCAGAGATGGGTTGCGTCTGGAAGGGCATCCGCTGCGTAAAATAAAACAAGTGCTGGATAAGTTGGCGGTTCATTCCGCTGTGGCGACCCTGGATTAAAAAAGGGACTAAGCCAAAACGAAAATGAATGAATGAATCATTCATATTTATTTAAAGATAATAGCCTACTGATAATCCATAATTGTTCATGATATTTAACTTTACATTATCATATAAGGACATCTCGCAGGCGTTATGCAGCTTCAACATTAGCTTACAGTAAAAAAAAGATTCACAATCATTCGTTTGGAAATTTGTTGGACGGTATTGATGTCTGTTCAAACTAAATTGAGTTGAAACTTATGTTTGTTTTGGGACAACTTGATTGTTTATGTTCAATCCACTTCAATTTGTAAAAACGATTAGGTTAACTTAGCCTAATTGATTTGTGTTGTGACAATGTGAAGTAATTGTGCGGAACCCAGCATGTTTACACTGTTGATTGACTCATTCATTCATTTTCCTTCAGCTCATTCCCTTAATTATTAGGGGTCGCCACAGTGGAATGAACCGCCTGACTTAAATATACAACTGTTAATTCATTAATTCTGTTTTATGTAAAATAATCTGCCATTTAGCTGTTCAGGATTGCGGTTGCTCTGTGACCAGAAACAACCGATTCATAAGATTTGGTCGTTTGGGATTTGGTCCACCGGTCCATCGTTTTTGTAAATTATTTTAAAACAAGTTAGAGTTATAGAAGTTAATTGGTTAGGGAATCGGACTTGAAAACCCAACAGTTCATCATTCAAGAATTCCCTTTGTTTGCGCTATTTTGATTCCGCGAAAAGAAGAACCGTTCTTCTTTTTTGTTCATTTAAAAAGAGTCGACTCATAAGAGTCATTTGTTCAGGAATCGAACCCAAATTGACGCTGATGATTCAGTAGCGGAGAAAAAAAACGTACAATTATGTGCTCTTTTTCTGCCTCACTTCCTTTTAAAATACACACACTTGCTTGAACATTTGATCTAATGCAGTGACATGATTGTGTTTTAAAGTGTGCCCGAGGTGTGGAAATAATCTAAATGAATGGAGCTGATGTTGTGTGTCGATGTTCATTGTCAGCGAGCGGTTTATAATAGCGGGTTCAGCCTTAGACAAACAGCAGTGTTGTCGATGTTCAGCAATCATTAACAGTATATAAAGGGAAATACTCTGGTAAAGTTCTGCATTGTTTATGCTTTATCAGGACATCTATGAGGCTGGTGAAGCTCGCTGGGGAACAGATGAGGTGAAGTTTCTGACGGTTCTCTGTGTGAGAAACAGAAATCACCTTCTGCGAGGTAAACACAGTAAAAGTCATTAACACTGATCTTAGATCTGATCTGTTTTATAAAACTGCAGATGTTATAATAACATGATGGAATATGACCCTGGTATAATGAAGTACACACACTGCTTCCACCTTGTGGTCACTGGATGGAAATAAATCTGCCCGCAACACCTGTCATACACTCTCAGAATTAAAGGTACAATACCTGTCACTGGGGTGGTTAAGGTACACTTTTGTACATTACAGGGCCACATATGTACCTTTAACCCTTTAACTGCCTGCCCTACCAAATTGTTGACCATATTTAGACGTTTTAAAATAATGCCTGTTAAAGTTATTTAAAGAATGACTATTTTAAATAATGGTTTACACAACATTGTTGGTTTATATAAAAAAAAAAATCTAACAAACATAATCCTGTTGCACTGCTACACTTGATTTTGGTTTTATTGTAAAAAAGAAAACGAAACAAGAAAACATGTTAAATGAGAATCTGAAATATTTTATTGCATAATTAAAAATATATAGTTGATTTAGTGTTCAAAATGTTTTTTATTTTAAATATTTTTGAATAAATTGGTCTTCATATTTTCAGATTTTTCATCGTGTATGTATTAATTCTGGTACTTTTACAATAAACTGACAAAAAATGCATTGAGTGTATTAACAAGTGACATTAGGAGTTAAGAAATGCAATCCAACTTTTCTTTCTCGGTGGAGCAGTTAAAGGGTTAAGGTACATATAAATACCTAAAAAGTACAATTGTGAACCCTCATAGTACCATAATAATACAAAAGTGTGTCCTAAAGATACAAAATTGTACATATAAGCCACCAATGTGCACATTTAAGGTACAAAAGTGTACTGTTTGAAAAGTGACCGGGTTTGTACCTGATTTTGGACCTACTTATCTCTGAGAGTGTAAATACAATAATAAGACTAATAATTATTACAAAAATCTGATAATGATTGAATAAAAATTTAACTAAAAACAAATAAATATAATGTAATTAGTAAGAAAAAAAAGTATTATACAATAAAGTAGAAAGAGTAGAATTTATAATGCCTTAGAGCAGGGGTGTCAAACTCAATTCCTGGAGGGCCGAAGCCCTGCACAGTTTAGTTCCAACCCTGCTCCAACACACTTACCTGTAGGTTTCAAACAAGCCTGAAGGACTCAATTAGTTTGATCAGGTGTGTTTAATTAGGGTTGGAACTAAACTGTGCAGAACTGCGGCCCTTTTGGAACTGAGTTTGACACCTGTGCCTTAAAGGATTTACAGTTGAAGTCTGAATTATTCGCCACTGTTTATTTTTCCCCCAATTTCTGTTCAACGGAGAGCAGATTTCTTCAACACATTTCTAAACATAATAGTTTTAATAACTCATTTCTAATAACTGATTTATTTTATCTTTGCCATGATGACAGTAAATAATAATTGACTAGAAATTTTTCAAGACACTTCTATACAGCTTAAAGTGACATTTAAAGGCTTAACTAGGTTAATTTAGTTAACTAGCCAGGCTAGGGTAATTAGGCAAGTTAATGTATAACGATGGTTTGATGGATAATGTAGATTATCGAGAAAAAATATAGCTAAAAGAGGCTAATAATTTTGTCTCTAAAATGTTGTTTAAAAATGTAAAAACTGCTTTTATCCTAGCTGAAATAAAACAAATAAGACTTTTTCCAGAAGAAAAAATATTATCAGACATACTGTGAAAATGTCCTTGCTCTGTTAAAAATCATTTGGAAAAATATTTAAAAAAATAGAATATTTATAGTTTTATAAAAACTAAAAATATTATCCAACTAATACATCAGACCCATTTATAATATTATTACACAGTGTAGATTTGATCTATTATTAAGAAATTACACGTATAACATATATTTTTCTATTTAGGATGGGAGAGTCCCTTAAATGAAGATGATCAGTTTTTTACAATTTATTTCAGTGTTATTTTAATGTACAAAAAAAGTTTAGTTTTTTTATAGTTACAATTTTGGTTGAATATTATCCATATACAAGCACTATCAACAATACCAACTACTGTAGAATGAAAATCTGCCAAGTGTATAATCTATTTTAATTTAATTGCCAAACAAAATGTGAATTATTAATTTTTAGCTGTCCGGATTTGATTTAAAAATGGTAAATGACTTTCTTCCCGAATTATTTAAAGAATACGACACCTGTTTTTCCCCAGTGTTTCAGGAGTATCAGAAGAAATCTGGACGAGACATTGAGGACAGCATAAAGCGAGAGATGTCCGGCTCTCTGGAGGATGTATTTCTGGCAATAGGTCAGCGTTACAGCATTCATTTCAATCCATTTCACACTTTCAATGTATGTATATAAAAGCCATCTGTTTGCCTTTTCAGTGAAATGCATAAAAAACAAGCCAGCGTTTTTTGCCGAGAGGCTCTACAAGTCCATGAAGGTACACAAAATCACCAAGTGATCCATCATTTGCACACATCAGCAGCATGACTTATACAAAAATATCCTTTCTTAGGGTTTAGGGACTACAGATAGTGTGCTGATCAGGATCATGGTGGCTCGTGCAGAGATAGATATGCTGGATATCAAAGCAGAGTTCCTGAAGATGTACGGAAAAACCCTGCACTCCTTTATAAAGGTGAGACATTACACTACACTCAACATTTCAGGCAGCACTTGTAAAGGTTTTATCGTCTGCGTTGGTACAAAAAATGCTTTACTTACTTCGTGTTTTTGTCTTGTTTCTTGTCTAAATATCTAAAAATTCTTAAATCAAGAAGCGCTTTCTAGACAAGCAAAAAATATGGTCTTGTTTTAAGAAATAATATGTTATAATTGAGTGAGTTTTCTTTAAAACAACCAAAAATAATCTGCCAATGAGCTTAGCAAAAAAAAAAAGAAAAAATCCAAATTAATAAACAAATACAATGAATATTGAATACAAATTAAATTAAAAATAAATAAATGTTACATTGTAGTTATTAAGGATATTATAATAAAGTATAAATATTAATAAAGTAGATGAGTATATCTAACAAAAAATATATTACGAAAATATACATTATTTAAACATAATGAAATATAAGTATTATCCAATTAATGTACACTCATTGGCCACTTTATTAGGTACACCTTACTAGTACTGGGTTGGACCCAATTTTGCCTTCAGATCTGCCTTAAACCTTCATGGCGTAGATTCAACAAGCTACTGGAAATATTCCTCAGAGATTTTGCTCCATATTGACATGATAGCATTGCGCAGTTGCTGCAGATTTGTTGGCTGCACATCCATGATGCAAATCTTCCGTTCCACCACATCCCAAAGGGGCTCTAGAGCTCTGGTGACTGTGAAGGCCATTTGAGTACAGTGAACTCATTGTCATGTCATAAAGCTTGAATCATCTCAGACTGCTTTCTTGAACATGGCTCGTTATCCTGCTGGAAGTAGCCATAAGAAGATGGTACACTGTGGTCATAAAGGGATGGACATGGTCAGCAACAATACTCGGGTAGGCTGTGGCGTTGACATGATGCTTAATTGGTACTAATAGGCCCAAAGTGTGCCAAGAAAATATCCCCCACACCATTACACCACCACCAGCAGCCTGAACCATTGATACAAGGCAGAATGGATCCACCCGATGTGGTCTTCTGCTGCTGTAGCCCAGCCACCTCAAGGTTGGATGTGTTGTGTGTTCAGAGATGCTCTTCTGCAGACCTCGGTTGTAAGGAGTGCTTATTTGAGTTACTGTTGCCTTTTTTCAGCTGGAACCAGTCTGGCCATTCTCCTCTGGCATCAACAAGGTATTTGTGCCCACAGAACTGCCGCTCACTGGATATTTTCTCTTTTTCGGGCCATTCTCTGTACACCCTAGAGATGGTTGTGCGTGAAAATCCCAGTAGATCAGCAGTTTCTGAAATACTCAGACCAGCCCATCTGGCACCAACAACCATGCCACGTTTAAAGTCACTTAAATCCCCTTTCTTCCTCATTCTGATGCTCGGTTTGAACTGCAGCAGACCAATTTGACCATGTCCACATGCCTAAATGCATTGAGTTGTTGGCAGATTAGAAATTTGCGTTAACGAGCAGTTCGACAGGTGTACCTAATAAAGTGGCCAGTGAGTGTAGATATCACAGAAACAACTAATTATCACAATGTCAGACTTTTACCGCATCTTGCAGCCCTATTCTGAACCGATATGAACTTCTCTCTTCTGTCAAAGCCAAAAAAGTTTACCTACTTTTTTGGCTTTGACAGAAGAAGGAAGTTTGAAAACAAATACCACGAAAGCCAATGGTTACAGATTTCTAGCTTTCTTCAAGATATATTATGGTGCGTTTTACAAACGAAAAACTCCTAATGGTTTGTAAACAAGTAAAGGCTGAGTGTGGAACGCTTTTCCCACAAACATTAGGAATGCTGGTTTCTTGGACTGTTTTAAGAAGCTACTTAAAACTTATCTTTTTAGGACCATTTTAATTTGTGATATCTCTTTTATTCTTTTTGTGTTTTTTATTGTATTTTTATTGTTTTACTCTGCTTTGTTGTTTTTTTCTGTCTCGTAAGCGCTTTGGGTCTTAGAAAAGTGTGTTATAAATAAAATGTGTTATTATTATTATTATTATTATTATTAGTGTTATTATTATTATTATTATTGTTGTTGTTATTATTATTGTTGTTATTATTATTATTAATATTATTATTATTATTATTATTATTACTATTATTATTATTATTGTTGTTGTTGTTATTATTATTATTATTATTATTATTATTATTATTATTATTATTATTATTATTAAATTATGACAGAATTGAAATGTTTGGGTGAACTATTCCTTTAAGTGGGCTTTGGCTGAATGAGAGTTGCAATAGAAACTCATTTCTATCTAATCTGCAATTAAAAAAAAAAAAACAACTGTCAGCTCTTATTTTAGAGTCATTTGCCTGAACACAGTGCTAATGTTTCCTCCATATGTTGTCTTTTTCTAGGGCGACACGTCGGGCGATTACCGTAAGATCCTGCTGGAGCTGTGCGGAGGTGAAAAGTAACACATCCGCCATGTTCATTAACATTAAACGCTTTTTCCCATCAGGCCTACAGCATTTCACACACATTCCTAGTTTGTAATACCAATTAAAAACCCAACATTGGTGTTTTGAACAAGATTCATGATTACTCTGTTCATTGCTTTTGCATTTATAGGTGTCTTTAATAGATCTACACCTTAATATAAATAAATAAAAGAAGAGGAGAACATCCCATATTGATCTGTTGTTTGTTGTTTTAATGTCAGCAAACTCTCTCAAGTCCATTTGTTTAATTACTTTGAGGTTAATTAGTTTAATGTACAGCGTCTCTGTGGTCTAATTATACTAATTGGCCCTGGTTGTTTGCTTGTCTGAGAATGGCTCATAGATTCTCCTGTTTTCAATATTTCATTAGATTTAGAGACCGCACGCCTCAATTTAATCAAGAGCAATGCGAATCACATGGGTGAACTTCGGAACTGTTAGAATTCTGGGATGCATGGCTAACAAAATGCAGTGAATTTATGGTTTTACCACTAAGTGGCGCTGTGCACACATTCATATTTACTCATTTGACAATCACTAATAAACTGCAGTGTTTGGTGGATGGAGAAAGTTTTCATACTTTGTATATCTCGTGAAGCATACATGAGTGTGTAAATAAAAAGTAAGTAATAATATAAATAAATAAAAAATACAATAACGAGAAGAAAACCGTTGGAAACGTCTTATAAAAAGAGATGCGTAAACTTCAGAAAATCATCTGCAAACTCATTTATTGTAATCTGTATTGTTTTTATATTGAAACATGCATAAATATAGTTTTAAACACGGAGTTGCTATTTAAAGTGATATAAAATAAGTGCATAATTTAAATATAATTACTGAAAATATATTATAATGTATTTTTATATGTATTTTATGTTTATGAAGCACGCTTCCGTTTTAATTTGGTCATTTAAAATAAAGTAGATGAGATAAGAGGAAAACATAATAAATTAAGGACTGAAATGCATACATTAAATTTATAGTCAAACTATTTTTTTTTATATTATACAATATACAGGGTTTCTGTAAGTTTAACCAAGTTAAATTTAAGACTTTTTCAAGACCATGAAGAATGAAATTTCAGACATTTTAAGGCCTAAAATTTTAAATTTAAGACTTTAAGACTCAACGGATGCTCTGAATATATTTATCTATAATATATATTTATATAATATATTTATTTATGCATATTTCTCTTTTTTAATTTGGTAATTTAAAGTAAAGTGCACGAGATAAGAGCAAAACATTCTAATGACTGAAATGAATACATTAAATAAATTTAAAGTCAAACTATTTTTTAAATATATATTTATATAGTATATTTATTTACAATATGTATTTATAATATATTTATTTATGCATATTTCTCTTTTTTAATTTGGTAATTTAAAGTAAAGTGCATGAGATAAGAGCAAAACAAACTAAATTAATGACTGAAATGCATTCAATAAATACATTTAAAGTCAAACAATTTTTATATATATATATTTATACAATATATTTATCTATAATATATATTTATTTACGCATATTTATCTTTTTTAATTTGGTAATTTAAAGTACATGAGATAAGAGCAAAATATTAATGACTGTAATACACACATTAAATTTATAGTTGATTTTTTTTTTTTACAATATATTTATCTATAATATACATTTATAATACATGTATTTACAGATATTTCTCTTTTTTTTAATTTGGGAATTTAGAATAAAGTGCATGAGAAAGTGTATGGAAAAACTATTTATCTAATATTTATTTTTTATAATATATTATTATAATAAATTTTCAGAGGCACATGTCTCTTTTTAATTTGGGGATTTAAAAAGATGTACATGAGATGAATATATATTATTTTTGACTACAATTTTAGACATTTTATTTAATGCAAAATATACTAAATTAAAGACAAATGCATACATTAAATTTATAGTTGAACTTTTTAAATATATTTTTACAATATATTTATAACATATTTATTTAGGCATATTTCAATTTGTTAATTTAAGTACCTGAGATAAGAGCTAAACATACTAAATTAATGACATAAATCCATACATTAAATCTATACTCAAACCATTTTTTATATTTATTAATATATTTATTAATTATTACTATATTTATCTATAACATATATTTATAATATATTTATTTACGCATATTTCTCTTTTTTAATTTGGGAATTTAGAATAAAGTGCATGCAATAAAGTGCATGAAACCCTATTTTTTATGTTTGAAATGTATATATTTATTTATTTTTTTAATATATTATCTTTTTTTTCAGAGGCACATTTCTCTTTTTAATTTGGAAGTTTAAAATAAAGTACATGAGATGAATATATTATTACTTATTTTGAAGTACAGTTTTAAACATGTTATTTAGTCGCAAAACATATTAAATTAAGGAATGAAATACACAGATTAAATAAATCCATGGTTTAACCTATTGTCTTCATACTATAGCTCAATAACTTAAAGAGAAAGAAAATATTTAGCTATATAAAATGGATTTAAAATATTACCTTTTTTTCCTGCTGCATTACATAAAAACACTCCAATTAAGACAGAGAATGTCTTAATGTCTCAAAACTCCCCTTTTTTTAACATCAGCTTATACCACAGTCAGGAAAAGTGCCTGATATAGGAAAAATTCAGAATTGAGTGTGGTAATCTTGAAAATGCAGCATGTGTTTGGTCACACTGTTTTATCTGGAAACTGTCTGAGTCTGCTGAGTTTGAAGTATTATTATTTTTTGTTGAGTATCAGAGTCGGGCGTACATGGCGAGCAATTCCTCAGACAAATGAAAGACGGTATCTGTGTGAACTCAGACAGACAGTGAGGGCTTGAATATCGGAAGCAAATAAACAATCCTGACAAGAAGAGCTCATAAATCTCCATATATATGCGCCAAGAGCATTCTGGGATCACTAGAACAGCAACTATGACAGAAATCGCCCTCTCCTTCTCAGGCTAATGATGGCCCACAGCATAAATAAACCTCTGCTACTTTGCAATTTTTATGCCAAAATCTTGCCTTTCCACATGCATGTTGAGTTTTTTTATTTTTAAGTCTCCTGCCTTTTTTATTGCTAACATCTTTGAACTGGAGTGAGGCAGAGAGAGAAAAACACTACACTGAGTAAAGTTACGAGTGACAAACTTTTCCCCGAGGCCTGAGTCCATCACTGTCAAACTAGTCTCACAGTGTTAGATGAATTAAATACATGCTCAAATCAAAGCACGAGCGATAACTTATGGCCATGAAAAGACTAACACGTCTCCTAGGTCATAATGTATTAATGCAGCAGAGTTTTCTGAAGAAAGAGAGACACACAAATGATAACGAAAACCTCAATTTTAGACTAGTTAGTTAGGGAACAGCACATAAATGGCGCAAAAAAATGTGTAGTTGTCTTTTTATGCCTAAATATTAGATGTTGATGTATTTCTTTTTAGCAAAACATTTGGAGCCAAATTTGATGAAGGTAAAGATGACATTAATAATGGCGGCATCATTATGTTCATTTTAATAAGGTAGTTTGGTCATATTGTGTAAAGTTACAAGTGACAAACTTTTCCCCGAGGCCTGAATCCATCACTGTCAAACTAGTCTCGTAGTGTTAGATGAATTAAATCCATGCTCAAATCAAAGTGCGAACGGTAACTTGCGTCCATGAAAAGACTAACACGTCTCCTAGGTCATAATGTATTAATGCAGCAGAGTTTTCTGAAGAAAAAGAAACACACAAATGGTAACGAAAGCCTCAATTTTAGACTAGTTAGTTTTGCAACAGCACAAAAAGGGGCAGAAATTTGGAGTTTTCTTTTTGAGCCTAACATTAGATCTAGATTTTTTTTTGCCAAAACATTTGGAGCCAAATTTAAGGGAGGTGAAGATGACATTAATATTGGCAGCATTATTATGTTTGTTTTAATAAGGTATTTGTCACATTGTGTAAAGTTACGAGTGACAGACTTTTCCCTGATGCTGGATTCTATCACTGTCAAACTAGTCTCGTAGTGTTAGATGAATTAAATCCATGCTCAAATCAAAGCACGAGCGATAACTTATGGCCACGAAAAGACTAACACGTCTCCTAGGTCATAATGTATTAATGCAGCTGAAGAAAGAGACACAAAAATGGTAACGAAAGCCTCAGTTTTAGACTTGTTAGTTAGGCAACAGCCCAAAAATGGTGCAAATATTTGGAGTTGTCTTTTTAAGCCTAAATATTAGATGTATTTCTTTTCGCCAAAAAGTTTGGAGCCAAATTTGATGAAGGTAAAGATGACATTAATTATGACGGCATCATTATGTTCATTTTAATAAGGTAGTTTGGTCATATTGAATAAAGTTACGAGTGACAAACTTTTCCCCGAGGCCTGAGTCCATCACTGTCAAACTAGTCTCGTAGTGTTAGATGAATTAAATCCATGCTCAAATCAAAGCGTGAACGGTAACTTGCGTCCATGAAAAGACTAACACGTCTCCTAGGTCATAATGTATTAATGCAGCTGGGTTTTCTGAAGAAAGAGACACACATAAATGATAAAGAAAGCCTCAGTTTTAGACTAGTTAGTTAGGCAACAGCACAAAAATGGCGAAAAAATTTGGAGTTGTCTTTTTAAGCCTAAATATTAGATGTATTTCTTTTCGCCAAAAAGTTTGGAGCCAAATTTGATGAAGGTAAAGATAACATTAATTATGGCGGCATCATTATGTTCATTTTAATAAGGTATTTTGGTCATATTGTGTAAAGTTACAAGTCACAAACTTTTCCCCGAGGCCTGAATCCATCACTGTCAAACTAGTCTCGTAGTGTTAGATGAATTAAATCCATGCTCAAATCAAAGCACGAGCGATAACTTATGGCCACGAAAAGACTAACACGTCTCCTAGGTCATAATGTATTAATGCAGCTGGGTTTAGTGAAGAAAGAAACAAAAATGATAACGAAAAAAAAAAATTTAAAAGAAAAAAAATATTCAATGGGGGGCTAATAATTCTGACTTTAACTGTATTTTGATCCTGGAACAACATTCCAATAAGCCAATCAGAATTAAGAGATCATTTTACAGTTTATGTTAAGTTTAGACCTACGGTTGGGCACTGTAAGTTCATGCACTTCTACATTGTTACCTATTAACACTTCTACATTGTAATACTAATATTCCCCTCTGATTTTGGGAAGAATGTACAGTCATGGTTGGGTTTAGGGGTAGGGAATAGGTGTGGATTACATTTTCCAACAAAAAATAATGTTCAGGAATCAACATAGATGTCCAGGATCGCATTGAACTTGGCAAAATCATGACGTGCATGACCCAACCAGTCATTAGGTTTAATGAGCAAACACTTTTTCACACAGGACTATGTAGCTAGTTTTAATAGTAGTTTTGTTTTTAAAACTGCATGATGTGTTTACTTGTGTTATCTTTGACTAATATAAGTGTGTTTGATAATCAGAAAGAAGGGCGAAGCAGTGGCGCAGTAGGTAGCGCTGTTGCCTTACAGCTAGGAGGTCGCTGGTTCGAGCCTTGGCTCAGTTGGCGTTTTTGTGTGGAGTTTGCATGTTCTCCCTGCGTTCGTGTGGGTTTCCTCCGGGTGCTCCGGTTTCCCCCACAGTCCAAAGACATGCGGTACAGGTGAATTGGGTAGGCTAAATTGTCCGTAGTGTATGAGAGTGTGTGGATGTTTCCCCAGAGATAGGTTGCGGCTGGAAGGGCATCCGCTGTGTAAAAACTTGCTGGATAAGTTGGCGGTTTATTCCGCTGTGGTGACCCCGGATTAATAAAGGGACTAAGCCGACAAGAAAATGAATGAATCAGAAAGAAGAAATCAGTGAGGAGGGGCGAGGCAGTGGCACAGTGGGTAGCACGTTCGCCTCACAGCAAGAAGGTCGCTGGTTCGAACCTTGGCGTTTCTGTTTGGGGTTTGCATGTTCTCCCTGCCTTCACGTGGGTTTCCTCCGGGTGCTCCGGTTTCCCCCACAGTCCAAAGACATGTGGTACAGGTGAATAGGCTAAATTGTCTGTAGTGTGTGAATGTGTGTGTGTGTGGATGTTTCCCAGAGATGGGTTGCGGTTGGAAGGGCATCCGCTGTGTAAAAACTAGCTGGATAAGTTGGCGGTTCATTCCGCTGTGGCGACCCCGGATTAATAAAGGTACTAAGCCAACAAGAAAATGAATAAATGAAATCAGTAAGGGGGTAAATACTTTTTCACACCACTTTACATATACAAATAAGAGAAGTAAATTGGATTTTCAATGTGACTTTAAAAGGAGAACAACTCAAATCTTTTTGAACCTTGATTTCGGAAATTTGGCTGATTTGAAATACAAAGGCCTCCTTGTCAGTTTTCTGAACAAGTCATTCAACTGGAGCAAATAGTGCGAGTCGCCTTATTAACATGGACGTCTCCACAAACCATCTGTTGGTTTTCTGTGATGTCGTAAACTCACTCTGACAGCATGTTCAGAGATAAATGAAACATGCCACAAGATGCTGCGAAACATTGTCAAGCTCCGCTTAAAAGTGCCAGAGGGCAGCAGCCAATGAATGATGGCAAATCTGTCTGACAAACACAACTGCACCGTTGCATGACCGTCCGTACGCCTTGAACTCAGTGTAAACAAAACCAAAACAAAGATGCGGCATAACAGGAAGCATGCGACGTTCAAGAACAAAGACTAAATTGGGTAACGTCAATGTACTTGGCTGATATATAGAGTTAAGAAACATAAGACTGAATAAAAGTGGCCTTATTATTTAGGGAACATACTGAAACGCATTTGCATGCTAAGGTCACATTTTTGATGTGCGATCACAAGCGATTCATCTGTAAAGACCATACGTGCTACCACAGGAAGTTGACAATAAGGTGCCCGCCGCAGACCACACGTCCTGCATCCTTCTGAACATGGTGTTCACATCGAGATTGAGGCGTGGGAAGGTACACAGAACAAGAGCGCACGATAATGGATGATAAGAGTTTGGAAGAACTTCTCAACAAGCCTGAATTATTGAGGAGGAGGATTTGAGGGAGGAAGATCCAATCTGGGTAAGCTGGAGGACATTGTTTTATTAGCCACTTGATTAAAGGCATTTCTACACTCAAAACATGACATTTGCTGTTTGTTCAAACTACTCATTCTGAGGTAAAGCAACACAATTCTCAGGTTTTTATGGGGCAACTTAATAGTTTTATATTCAATCTACTTAAATTTGTAAAAACTAATAAGTTAACTCAACTCCATGTTGTTCCATCACAAATCGTTTGTGTAGAAAAAGCATTTTTAAAAGTGTATATCAGCCGTTTTTAATAAGCGTGTGCATTTAGATCCAGTTCTGTTTTGCATAAAATGCATTAATTAAATGGTATCTGCAAATGGCTGTAAACATCAAGAAAATATTGTATTAAAATGACTACTTATAGCATCAAAACAATGCATTGCAAGTCAAGCTGAGGCTTATGATTATTCCAAAGTCTGCGGGTTATGCAGAAATTGATTTGTTACTTCATAAATGCATCATATTTTCCATGATGATTGGCTGTATTTCAGCACATACATGCATATTTTGAAATACCCATGCAGCTGCAGGTATCTTTATGATAAATTATATTGCATAAAAATCAGAGTTTGACATCTGAAACAATATAAATGTCCGTAATCAATACTTAAAAACAATCAAATCAATAACACATGGCACAGATCATGCATTACAGATCAGAAAGAGGTACATGATTGTCTGAAATAAGTCGTCTTGGTAAACAGTTGGCTAAATCTGCATTATTACTTTATGAACGCATCAAACCTAATTTTTAATTTTGGCACGTAGATATGTTTTCTAAAATACAACAAGCAAAGGTTACTGTATAATAAAATCATTAAATATAGCAGAATAAACAATGCATTGCAAGTCAAGATGAGGCACTTGATCATCTCAAAGTCGGGGTTACACAGAAATTAATTTGTTATTTCATAAATGCATCATATTTTCCATGATTATTGGCTGTATTTCAGCACATAAATGCATATTTTGATATACCCATGCAGCTGCAGGTATCTTTATAACAGGTTATAGTGCATAAAAAGCAGAGTTTAACATCTGAAATAACATAAATATCCGTTATCATTACATAAAACAATCAATCAAATCAACAACAAATGGCACTGATCATGCATTATGGATCAAAAAGAGGTACATGATTGTCTGAAATTTTAAGTCGTCTTGGTAAAAAGTTGGCTAAATCTGCATTATTACTTTATGAACGCATCAAACCTCATTTTTAATGTTGGCATGTGGATATGTTTCCTAAAATACAACAAGCAAACATTACTGTATAATAAAATCATTAAATATAGCCGAATAAACAATGCATTGCAAGTCAAGATGAGGCTCTTGATCATCTCAAAGTCGGGGTTACACAGAAATTGATTTGTTATTTCATAAATGCATCATATTTTCCATGATGATTGGCTGTATTTCAGCACATACATGCATATTTTGAAATACCCATGCAGCTGCAGGTATCTTTATAATAAATTATAGTGAATAAAAAGCAGAGTTTGACATCTGAAATAACATAAATATCCGTTATCATTACATAAAACAATCAAATCAATAACACATGGCATAGATAATGCATTATAGATCAGAAAGAGGTACATGATTGTCTGAAATAAGTCGTCTTGTTAAAAAGTTGGCTAAATCTGCATTATTACTTTATGAACGCATCAAACCTAATTTTTTAATGTTGGCACGTAGATATGTTTCTTAAAATACATCAAGCAAAGGTTACAGTATAATAAAATCATTAAATATAGCCGAATAAACAATGCATTGCAAGTCAAGCTGAGGCTCTTGATCATCTCAAAGTCGGGGTTACACAGAAATTAATTTGTTATTTCATAAATGCATCATATTTTCCATGATGATTGGCTGTATTTCAGCACATAAATGCATATTTTGAAAGACCCATGCAGCTGCAGGTATCTTTATAACAGGTTATAGTGCATAAAAAGCAGAGTTTGACATCTTAAACAATATAAATGTCCGTTATCATTACATAAAACAATCAAATCAATAACACATGGCACTGATCATGCATTATGGATCAGAATGAGGTACATGATTGTCTGAAATTATAAGTCGTCTTGGTAAAAAGTTGGCTAAATCTGCATTATTACTTTATGAAAGCATCAAACCTCATTTTTAATGTTGGCACGTAGATATGTTTCTTAAAATACATCAAGCAAAGGTTACAGTATAATAAAATCATTAAATATAGCAGAATAAACAATGCATTGCAAGTCAAGCTGAGACTCTTGATCATCTTAAAGTCCGGGTTTAGCAGAAATTGATTTGTTATTTCATAAATGCATCATATTCTCCATGAGGATTGGCTGTATTTCAGCACATAAATGCATATTTTGAAAGACCTATGCAGCTGCAGGTATCTTCGTGATAAATTATATTCCAAAAAAGCAGAGTTTGACATCTGAAACAATATAAATGTCCGTTATCATTACATAAAACAATCAATTAAATAAAACATGGCACTGATCATGCATTACAGATCAGAAAGAACTACGTCAATGTCTGAAATGTTAAGCCGTCTTGGTACAGAGCTGGCTAAAACTGCATTACTACTTTATAAACACATCAAACCTCATTTTGGCATGTAGATATGTTTCTTAAAATACATGAGACAAATGTTACTGTGTAATAAAATGATCAAATAAAGCACCAAAAACAATGCATTACAAGTCAAGCTAATAATATGAAATACCCATGCAGCTGCAGGTATCTGCATGATAAGTTATACTGCACAAAAAGCAGAGCTTGACATCTGAAACAATATAAATGTCCTTAATCAATACGTTAAAACAAACAAATCAAGAACACATGGCACAAATCATGCATTATGGATTATAAAGAGGTACATGATTGTCTGAGATAATAAGCCCTCTGGGTAAATCGTTGGCTAAAACGGCATCATTACTTTATGAACGCATCAAACTGGGCACGTAGATATGTTTTTTTAAATATACATGCACCAGCGGCTTTGTTTTTGCAACTTTATACTACATTATATGCAGAGTGGCACATTAACCACTGAATTGCATCAGCAACACTGAAAGTAACAGGAAATATCAAGAACATGTAAGATGTTGCATAAATAATGCATTATGGATCAAGACGTCCATGCACAAACCTTTTAATCTCAGATGAAAAGAATACGGGTAAGCTGGCTAAAATGCTTTTGTTTATGTAAGAAATCAAACTTTCCATATCAGTCATGTACAGCGCTCAGCATATATAAGTACACCCCTCACAAATCTCCCTTTTAAATTCATAGTTTTAATAGGAAGCTGTACAATATTATATTTGTGCATATACATTAATAAATCTGGAGCTTATCTAACAAAATAACTTATGATAACTCTCCAAAAACTAGTACAGCCAAATTTATGTTATAGAAAAATAATAAATAAAATTTTTTCAAATCAAGAGAAGCGAGAAAAAAATAATTACAATTTTTTTTGCAATATTTTGCTTGGATTTAATTGTATTATCTATCAATTTATAAATATGTTTGGTGACTAAAATATTATTTAAATAAATAAATCTGTTTAAATTTGTTTTATTTAAATGCACCAAAATACACTGCCTATATTCACTGAGAAATGGAGACAAATATTCATTTTCATAATGAGGTGTACTCAATTATGCTGAGCACTGTAAATATTTCAATTCGATTACATTCATGAGGAGTAGATTAGGATATAAACAACCACAAAGCTCCAAATATCATGAAAATAGTACAAATAGGTCATTAAAATAAGCGCATGTAATCTTCTTGATGACAAGAAGTCTAGTTAAGCTGGCTGAGATTTCCGAGTTACTTGATGAAGATCCAATTTTCCATATCAGTCTCTTTTATTTCATCACAAAAATACAGATTTAAAAAAAATATCCATAGCAGTGGATTTGTTTTAGTGAAACTACACTCATAAACAGGTGATGTGCTACTTTACATTTTATGCAAAGTAGCTGAAAATTTCAAGATATTACTATAAAATCAATAAAATCTTATAAATCAAAATAAAATAAAAAATGGATTTGATGTAATGTCATAAGCTCGAATCATTATAAGCATGGGGCAAAAACAGTTTTCAATGTATACCGCGGTTTGGAAAAGTCAAGGTTTTAAAACCGCCAAAATTTTCTGCTATACTGTTTCTAAGGTATGTGTAACATTTTTTATTTACTTTTATTTTAAATTTTTTTTTGGACAGCAGTATCTCCAGCAGTAAAGATCTCCAAATATGCCATTTTAAATTGTAAAGAAATCTGTGTATTTGCAACAAATAAACACAGCAGAAGTCAATGATTAATTTGAATTATTTAGCCTGACATGTTTACTCAGGGTATCTGACGGGCCTTAAAACGTCTTCAATTTCAAAAACCTAGTTTTAGACCTTAAAAAGTCTTAAATCCACTGAAATATTGTGTTGTAGGTCTTAAATAATATTTTAAACGGGTCTTAATTTTCCATGTAAAGCCCCAGTTGATTTTTTTATTTTATTTTTTTTATATTTCCCAAATGATGTTTAACAGAGGAAGGAAATTTTCACAGTATGTCTGATAATATTTTTTCTTCTGGAGAAAGTCTTATTTGTTTTATTTTGGCTAGAATAAAAGCAGTTTGGAATAAAAAATAAAAAAAACATTTTAAGGTCAAAATTATTAGCCCCTTTAAGCTATATTTATTTTCGATAGTCTACAGAACAAACCATCATTATACAATAACCTGCCTAATTACCCTAACCTGCCTAATTAACCCTATTAATCAAGTTAAACCTTTAAATGTCACTTTAAGCTGTGTAAAAGTGTCTTGAAAAATATCTAGTCAAATATTATTTACTGTCATCATGGCAAAGATAAAATAAATCAGTTATTAGAGAGATGAGTTATTAAAACTATTATGTTTAGAAGTGTGTGGAAGAAATCTCTGTTAAACAGAAATTGGGGGAAAAATAAACAGAGGGGCTACTAATTCTGACTTCAACTGTATATATATATATACATATATATATATATACCCAATTGGGTCAATACCCATCCAATCATTTTTTGATTTCATATATATTTCAAATATATTTCTATAAAAGTTAAGAAACATTTATTTATTAACTCTGTTTACTTATTAATATGGTTTAATTATTTTCTTTACAATAATTTTTTTAAATGTTTTTTAAGGTTTTAACTTGGCCATTAAAAAAATCTTTAGGGTTTAGCCTTGTCAAAGTCTGAAATTCCATTCATTATGGTCTTAAAATGGTCTTAAGAATGTGTTCAATTTGACTTGATGAAACTTGTAGAAACCCTGTTACTGCTCCAAAATATTTTAAATGTTTCTCAAAATTAAATATATTGGTGTTCAAAGGGGGAAAAGTTTTTTTGTTTTTACCCAGACATTTAAAAAGACCATATTTTAGAACAGTAATCACAATACTGTGAAACCGTGATATTTTTATGCAAGGTCATCATACCCTCAGATTCTTATACAGGCCCATGCCCAATTAGAAGTCTCTGTAATTTGGCTTTTATTTTATTTGTTTAATTTTTTACATCATGAAAGCATCAAACCTTTCATGTGGACCTATTTCAATACGCAGGAGCAACTTTGTTTTTGTAAAGCTTTGCTATATGAATAGCTGGAAATATTAAGAAAACAATGTGATGCAATTACTAAAAACTACAATATGATACTGCTACTACTACAAATAATGCATTATGGGCCATTTAATGACCTCAAAGTCTGGATAAGCTTGGGTAAAACTGATTTGTTACTTTGTTAAGGCATCAAACATGCCATGTTGGTCTGTGTTATTTTCAAGACGCTTCATTTTTGTACAGAATTAAATGAAAATGGCCAAGAAAAGAATGCAATAAAGTGTGGTACAGATAATGCATTATGCGTGATCTCAAATGACATGAAGTCAACATCTACTGAACGCTCCTCCTTCTAGCGCACGAAGACAAATAAAGTCTTGGCCAGCTAGTTAACTAACAGTCTGAGAGTTTCCATGCAATAATGCCTCATGTTTATAAAGCCGATATACTTACAAAATGTCCGAGCTGCTGATAAATCTTTGATCTTCAACATGAACTCACCTGGAATCTGTTTCTTGCAGGACATTATCCAAGCATGCAAAGGACTACAGAAGTCTTTAGCAGAATTTTGGGACTGACTAATCCAGTGTCTATTTCTCTTGATCACTGAAAGCTTCCTCTCAGGATGAGCGCCAACACCACCACCCTGATTCCTGAAGATGTCAAGCCCCTGCTGGTTCTTCCTCTGGCGTTGGTCATCTTCTTGACGGTGATTGGAAACCTGCTGGTCATCCTGGCGATCGCCCGCACCCCTCTCCTCCACACCACCACCAATGTCTTCATCATCTCTATGGCATTCGCTGATCTCATTATGGGCTGTGTGGTCCAGCCTTTAGGACTCAGTATGGTGGTGGCTGGGAAATGGGTTTTGGGGAACCCTATGTGTGACCTGTGGACGTCTTTAGACGTGTTCTGCGTCACCGCTAGCATTGAGACATTGTGCGCTATCGCTGTTGAGCGATACATTGCGATTACCAGACCTCTGGAGCATCAGGTACTGTTGGGAAAACGCAGAGCCGCCTACATCGTATGCACAGTGTGGATCGTGTCATCCTTAGTTTCCTTCGTGCCAATAATGAACCATAATTCTCGTGCAAATTATTTAGCAGCAAACGACTGCTACAACAACTCGGAGTGCTGCGATTTCCATACTAACCAGCACTACGCCATCTTCTCCTCTGTGGTTTCCTTCTATGTGCCTCTTCTTGTTATGGTGTTTCTGTACGGGAAGGTGTTTGCCATTGCAAACAAGCAGTTGAAACTCATCGGTAAGGACAGACTTCGTTTTCTGAGCTCTTGCAATGAAGACTCTTGTGAAATTCCTGAAGGTTCGGCTCGAAGTTACAGTCGGAGAACAACAAAGCATGTCGTGAAAGAACACAAGGCGCTCAAGACTCTAGGGATTATCATGGGCATCTTCAGTCTCTGTTGGCTGCCCTTCTTCATCTTCAATATCATCAAAAGTTTTAATCCTGAAGTGCCAACACAGCTTGTGTTTCTCTTGTTGAACTGGCTGGGCTACGCCAACTCAGGCCTGAACCCAATCATCTACTGCCACAGTCCTGAGTACCGCAACGCTTTCTTTAATCTCTTAGGGTGCAAAAAACCCAAGCATTTTAACCAAACCACCGTGAACAAACATCTACAAAGCTTCACCTCGTGCATCCAGAGCAACAGTTCGGTAAGAATGGATTGCATGGGTCACAAAGATCCAATTGCACGGGGCGGGAACACTTGCTCTGACATGAGCTCAGTTTTAAAAGGAGAAGAGGTAGAAATACAGCCTCACAATGACTCGACAATGACGATGATCAATCTAGCAGAGATGTTGAAGGTAAGAGGGAACAAATCACAACTGTTAAATAGTAAAACTGTTTAAGATAGTAAGGTATGATGGGGTGATTGCTCACCTAAGTGTTTGGAGTGTCGTCTTTGTGGGTGGAAAACAGATTAACATTGAAACAAACGAGAAGCAGCATTCAGAAATCTTTGAAAACCACATATCTGGCCAGCTTATGGGTTTTGAAGCAGCTCTCAAATGGTCTTTTAACATCTTTGATGCACATTTACTAATTTAACAACTATTGTTGATGTTAAAGATTCTAAATTACATGATTCCATACTTATTACTTTCATACATTTGGCATGTCCAATATCACGGTACTAAAGCCAACCTGACATATTGTCAATATTAATGAGCAACATTTCACAACAATTACTGGTCAATTGAAACAATTATTTCAGAAATTTTTCCCAGGACCACAGTTTGAAAATCTACAACTCAAGGGTAACAATATTTAAAGGGCACCTATGAGGTAAATCATCTTCTGTAAGCTGTTTGGACAGAACTGTGTGTAGGAATAGTAGAGGTGTGAAACTACTGTATACTGCTCTCACGGTTCGGTTATCACGGATGGCGATTATCATGCCATCGATTCGGTTCAATTCGATATCTCGGTGCATCACGGTGAATGACGATGCTTTCCATACACAGTGTTATATTTTGGGGGGAGGCTATAACAAGCTGTCTGGTCACACTTTACAATAAGGTTCATTAGTTAATGTTGCTTAATGCATTTACTAACATGAACAAACAATGAACAATACATTTACTACAGTATTTGTTCATGTTAGTTAACATTAGTTAATGAAAATACAGTTCATTGTGAGTTCTCACGGTGCATTAACTAATGTTAACAAGCATGAGTTTGGATGTTAATAATGCATTAGTAAATGTGTAATTATGATTAATAAATGCTGTACAAGTGTTGTTCATGATTAGTGCATGTTAGTAAATGCATTAACTAATGAACCTTATTAAAGTGTTTCCAGATCCACAGCACCACACTGTCTTTCATTCACACACATACACAAACATAGACAACACCAAACAAATACACACACACTAAAGCCCTCGCAATATGCGTTTAGCCGGGAGAGCTTGCGATGAGCAGAGCAAAAAAAAATTTTTTTAAATTTTTAAAAAAGAAGCACTTTTCCGCGCGAGCTCTCTCGGCTAAACACAGATTGCGAAGGCTTAAAGGGAGCAGAAACACAATGTTTTAAGGCATTGCAAACGGCGATGGCACATTGCAGGTCACTTCAGGAGGCGTGAATTAATTTAGCTAAATTGCGACATGGTCATCTTCCAGAAATATTACCAACCATATATCAGCTAATGTTTTCCCTCTCTCTCTCTCTCTGTTTAAAATTGTTGGTAAATCGCTCTCAACAAATATTTTTCTTCCACATCCCATAATGCATAATGCATCGGCCTACAGCAGCTGGATTAGTTCAAAAAGGCACAGTATATTGTAATTTTTTTTTGGATTTTACAAATTGGATTTGTGTATTTATATATTGTGATTTGAACTTGCAAATTGGATTTAGTAAACGTGAATTGTGTTGTGGATGTATGAATTTTATTTCGTAAATGTAATATTTTTGAGACTGATCTGGCTCCATAGTATCCAGTCACATTTGCATGCAAAAAGTGTAAAGTTAAACGTGCATTGTGTGTGTGTGTGTCTGTGAGTGCGCGTGAACTTTATAACGACATTGTGTGTGACTCATCGTTGCAGAAAGGCTTGAATCAACTCCACAACAAATACATTAAATAATCATTGGGAAAGTTCTTTCTGTAGTATTTCTCACAAGTGTTACGTGAGATCTGCTTCCTTCATGTCTGTCACTGTTCTGTTTATCTGACACAGCTGAGGAAGAGATTGAGGCACACTCTGACAGACAGGTGAAAACAGTGGGCGGGGAGAACTAGCAGTAAAGGTACAGGCCACAAAAACAGCTACATAGTGTTCAGAGCAAAACATTTAATATTCTGAAAGGTATGTGTGTTTTTAGCTGAAACTTTACAGACACATTCAGGAAATATAAAATACTCATCCTAAATATTGAAAAAAAGGTGTTCTTTAACTAAAACTATTAAATGAAATAAGTTTATTATAACTAAAATAACCAATATAAAAAATATATTTAATTATATTTTATAATAATATATAATTATACATATAAATTATATTTAAAAAAGTAACTTTAAAACCAAACCAAAATACAATTTCTAAACCTTTAGACAAAAAATAAAAATAGAACAGAAAATATAAAACTAATAACATTCAACCTAGTCATAAAAACTCATATATTTACCCAATACTCAGCAATACTGATTTAATATACACTTGTATTCTAGCAACTAGGGCTGTGTGATTTGGGGAAAATCTCTAATTGCAGATATTGTGATTGCGATTTGATTTACGATTGAATTCAAGCTTCAAACTGGTTTTAATTTAATTCAAGCTTCAGCTCAATAATCTGTGATCCGTAACGACTGCTCTTAAAAATGACCTGTTTTTTTCGGTGTCTGGGACTTTAAAACCAAAATATTCCCATATTACAAATGCTGTTTTTCTTTGATATTAATTTGTCTATTAATGTTTCTGAAGCAGCAGATGCTATAATCCCACTTTGTTTTCTTTTTTTATTATTGTGGGCGCATTTTAGTTGCGCAGTTCCGATTGGGCAGAATGAAAGTGTGCTCACTCAATTGGCTGGTCACATAGCCTCGGTCAGATCACACATTTTCAGCACGATTTCCATGACGTGTCGTGGGTAGTCATAAACGACAAACTGACGTCATGACAAGATTCAATCGTTTCTTCTCAACGATTGACAACCAATACCATGTCTGCGATGCCTTGCAGAAAGTCCAGCATGTTTGATTTTCTGAAGCCGAGCTGACTGGTTTTGAAGCACTTCACCTCATATGTTATTCGTTATTTTATATACATGTTTTATATTGCTTCCAACATTTCAAATTGCGATGGCAATTTGATTTCAATTAATCGCACAGCCCTATTAGCAACTTACAAATGAAGCACACTGCAAACAATATCATAAGAGCCAATAACATATGCAGTACACAATGTCAAATACTCAGTGCCAACACAATGCCCTGATGACCGTAGGGCAGAAACTGGGTAAACAAAAAATAATCATCATTAGAGGTAGTGCATTTATTATGTTTGGGATTTAAAGGTCTATTGAAGAGCATTTTTAATTTAATGGTTGACGTAATCTCAACTGAAACAGAGAGGGCGGGACATAAAGTAGCTCCTCCCCTAGTGTTTTGTTTTTATCACAGCTCTGCCAGTGACTGGTTGATCTCAAGCGCATCAAATGAAAAGCAAATGAGAAGAAGGGGGCGGGGCATGTCAGATACTAAAACAGCAGTTGATTGGTCAGAAGATTTGATGAGAAACTGAAGTACGAGTTGATGTAAAAAAAAAAAAAAACGTTGATCCATTTAGACGGAGGTGGCAAACTGCAAGATTCGGATGTTTACACCAGGTTTATATCTTCTAAACGCGAATATTTTGGAGCACACTAGCTTATAGATATCCTTAAAACAAACATACTGATACAAACATCTAAAAAAAAAAAAAAACTTTATTTTAATTTCATGGGACCTTTAAGTTTATGCATAATATAATACTAAAGAAGTAATCAGGCATGAGAAAGCCACAATTGAAACACTCCCACGCCCACCATTTCCATGTGGGTGCTGAATGCGGATTGTTAGCTTATAACTTTCACATTCATAACAGCATTTCTGCTTCTCACACTTCCTCTTGATGAATGGCTTGAAACCAACAAGGGCCAGTGCTGCTGACGCACGCAAAATAAAAGATGGGTATAGCCAATAATCAATTCTGCTTTCATAATCAATCCAATTTTAAAAACATAAATAAAAATATAACTCTTTTACTTTATTAATTAATTGATAATTTAGTTAATTTATTAGTATGAAATAACAAAAAGAAGACGAGAAAACCAAACAAAAAGGTTTTATTTTCACTGGGAAAGCGTCTAAGAAACTAGTCTGCCACAGCATGTCAAATCAATTTTTTCAATGTACTAATATCCTGAATGAGGACTTGAGGTGATGATTGCACAAAACAGGATATAAATCTACCACTTCCCCTCAAACGGAGAACAAGTTTGCCACCACATGCAGTTTTGTCAAGATTTGTCCCAATTTGCATTGTATTTCTATGCTCATAGACCTAAAAACCTCTTATCGTTTACCTCATAACATTTTAAAATACTCTGGGGATATGATCAGACCCTCAACAACTGATTAGCACAGCACAACCAATCAGTTCAACATGTTTCTCAAGTGTCTGAAATTAGTGGAGATTTTCTGAAGTGTGAGTGAATACTCACCCCAATAGTAGTGGGAAACCCAGGGGTCTTATTAGTTTATTACCTCATTAATGTGAAGATAATAATAGGAGCCAAAGGTGTGCCGTAAACGTGTCTTATAACACTAAATAGGCCTCGTGTTCAAGCTTATGCCAATGAGCTCGCATTTTAATCTTGTGGCCAGCTTAATTTTTCCATTAAGTCATATTCCATTCGATAGTCCGTTTATTATGGAGCCAGATCAGTCTCAAAAGTAATACATACAAACACAATTCATAAAATCACAAGTGAAAATCATAAATATTTTCACCAATTGAATTGGATTTGCGTATTTTTTAAAAAACTTTTGTTGAATTTCCGAACTGGATTTGCATGTTTTTGAATCGTGTTTTGAATTTCCGATCTGGATTTGCGTATTTTTTAATCGTGTTTTTAATTTACGAATTGATGTGCATATTTTTTTAATCGTGTTTTGAATTTACGAATTGGATTTGCATATTTTTTTAATCTGTTTTGGAATTTAGGAATTGGGTTTGCGTATTGAATCAATTTTAAATTCATGAACTGGATTTGCATATTTGTGAATCGTGTTTTGAATTTACGAATTGATTTGCGTATTTTTAAATCTTTTTCAATTCACGAATTGAATTTGCGTATTGAATAATTTTTTTAGTTCATAAATTGGATTTGCATATTTGTGAATTGTGTTTTAATTTTTTGAACTGGATTTGCGTAGTTTTGAATCATGCTTTAAATTTACGAATTGGATTTGTGTATATTTAAATCTTTTTGAACTTACGAATTGGATTTTCACATTTTTTAATAATTTTTTTGTATTTATAAATTGAATTTGCGCATTTTTAAATAATCTTTTATGAATTTACAAATTAGATATGTATTTTTGAAATCACACTTTGAACCTATGAATTGATTTGCGTATTTTTTAATGTTTTTGAATTTACGAATTGAATTTTTATATTCGTGAATTGTGTTTTGAATTTACAAACTGGATTTGTGTATTTTTTAATCTTTTGAATTTACAAATTAAATTTGTGTATTTTTTGAATTTATGAACTGGATTTGCATTTTTGTGAATTGTGTTTTAATTTTACGAATTGGATTTGCTTGTTTTTTAATTCTTTTTTTTCTATTTACGAATTGGATTTGCATATTTTTGAATAATTTTTTGTATTTATGAATTGGATTTCATTATTTTTAAATCATTTATCCTTTTTTAATCCGGGGTCGCCAC